GTCTGAAACAAAACTCTCTGTGGGCGGACGACTCCACAAGTGAACTATCAACCAAATATCTGTTTGGTCGATCAGGTCTAGCCCTGGAGCCTGAACCTTTGTCGGCTTCTGTGGACTCTATCCCTCAAGAGGAAGCACGACGTCAGTGTTCTGAAATGCAGTCTCTCATTCTTCGGTACATTGACAAACTCGGGAAGTACCTACCTCCGTCATCCCTAGATGATCTCATCGAAAAACTCGGTGGACCAAGTCGTGTTGCAGAAATGACGGGCCGGAGAGGAAGAGTTATCGTCGATGAGTCCGGCCGAATTCTCTACGAGTCGCGACGCGAGAGCGACGTAACCCTTGAAGTCATAAATTTAGCGGAAAAGCAGCGATTCATGGATGGTGAAAAACTAATTGCCATCGTCTCAGAAGCCGCCAGTAGCGGTATATCCCTGCAGGCTGATAGGCGAGTTGCTAACCAGCGTCGACGTGTACATATTACACTGGAGCTGCCCTGGAGTGCCGATCGCGCAATCCAACAGTTCGGCCGAACCCATCGCTCCAACCAAGTCAGTTCGCCGGAGTATATTTTCCTTATTTCGGACCTGGCCGGTGAACAGCGTTTTGCCTCCACTGTTGCCAAGCGTTTGGAGTCCCTTGGGGCACTGACGCACGGTGATAGACGTGCAACGGAGACGCGTGACTTGTCACGCTTCAACATAGACACAAAGTTGGGCCGCGAAGCTCTTGACATCGTTCTGAAGGCCTGTATTTACGGGGATGAGGGTATTGTTGACCCGCCGGCTGACTACCGTTCAGATCAACCAGATACCGAAGATTCTTCAGAAATTGTACCCGTACATATACGAAAGCACCATCAATTCTTTGCCGACGTGAAAGTAGGCCTTCAAGGTGTTGGTCTCTACAATGGTAGATCGCGAGAGCGTGACAGTAATCATATGTCGAAATTCCTCAATCGTCTACTCGGTATGCGAGTAAATGTACAAAATGCTCTCTTCCGATACTTTTCGGATACTCTTGAGGAGCTCGTCCGGCGTGCAAAACGTGACAATCGACTTGACTTGGGAATCATGGACTTAGGTACGACTGGGCAGAATTTGGAAATCGTCTGGACCAAGAGTTTTGATACCCGTTTTCTGTCGGACTCTGCTCAGATCCATTTACACAAGGTGACGACGCAGCGTGGCGTTTCGTGGTCAGCCGCTATGGAAATCTACACTCAACACGATGGGGATGCCGATGGCTTCTATATGCCTCGTCAGAACTCCGGAGTTCGCAGCATGCCACTATTGGCCTTCTACATCAAGAACAGGACGAATCGAAGTTCAGGCACAAGATTATATCGCATATACCGCCCAAATACCGGTATGCAGACTGTTCCAATGGAGTATGAAAAATTGAAGGAACGATACAGTCGTGTTTCGAGCCCATCAGATTGCCAAGAGCTCTGGACAACCGTTTACAAGGAGAGCGCAACAAAGTGCATCCACTTGATTCAACGGAACTATTGTTCCCGTATTGCACAACAAAAAGCCTTGGTAATCTTCCTCAAAATTGATTAATTTATCTCAGGATTTTTGACTGAATGGTACTCTTTGGAGAAAAATTTTACTTTTCGCCTCAAATTCTTAAAACTCTAGTATGTTTGCCTTCGTTCAATACACATAAGTCCTCCTATATTCACGCCCTAAGACCCTTTGCTTAGCCTACCCTGGTAGGAAGCTGTAGAAGTTTGCGTCCGGAGACGTTACCCCTAGTTTGACGATAGCCACCCGAACAACGTGAGACCCCGTTTCTAAGTGAATTAGAGGATCGCGTGCGTGTTTTTGCCACTTTACACGCGCGCACTTTCCCCGTAATACTTACTAATCAACCTTATAAACAGACCAGTATCTTCTCCTACGAGACTTCTTAGACAGCAGGTTGCCTAGCTCTTGAAATGTACCTAACTTAACGAAGAATCAATTCAAACGCATCCACCAAAACACCAAACTAATAACGCATAACCTCAAATTAAATAAAAACCGTAAAATAATTATGACAAGTATTATTTCGTTGGTCAGAAAATGAAAATTTTCATAAGAACACCGAACATGTCGAAAATGCGAAAATCGTGTCATACGAGTTATAAATGACTAAATAGAACACTGTAGGCAGACTTGAAAAAATATATTTTTACTTAACGTTTCATTAAATATCCCTCAAGAATTAGTGCTGTATAAAGTCTGACAGTAAGTCAAGTGCGTAGTGTCCGGTCATCTATTGCGAAAGTTTACTGTGTGGAATCGACTTAATTTTTCCGTTTTGTGTTGTCACAGGAATAAACGTGTCCTTAATGTCACATTCTGACAGGTCGACCAGTGACTAATAAAACTGAATATAATTAGCGGATGCAATCGTAGGCATACTTAACGATATAAGTGCATTCAATCGCTTTCCCGTAAAGATAGGTTTTGCGTTATGTATTTATCAAAATCTTCAAAATGACATATTTAGGAAAGCCTTTAATGAAGTAATGTGTGCTTGGGCGTTGTTTTTCGTGTAGATAGTCTTTCAGGTCACATTTGAAAACTTATTCAAACACGAAACCATATTGTCGAAAAAATAAACCTCCATAACAAAAGTCAACGATTAATATGCATTTGATCAATTGAAGTGCATTAGCTAATAAGTTACAGCATTACAGCATTCTTAGGAAGGATGTCCACGTACATTACCTTTTTATTTAAGAAACGGCACCATTTAGTTAACTTTCCCGAAAACTGCTGATAACTTTTCTACCGTAAGCGGACGAAGTAACGTTTCGTTTTATATGACGGCCATTCTCGTTATGTTGACTTGCTTTTGGGCCTCGTTCTATGATTGTGAATGCACAAAAGCGTGGCCATATTAACGGTGACATATTGCTCAAACTGCTCATGATTTTTCTCTTCTCTTTCTAAATTATTTACAAACGGAAACTGGACCGTGCGATAAGTACCTTTACATATTTAAAACATTAAAAATAGCAATTCAATTATAGTCATTTTGACGTTAACTCGTAATGTATTGGCAAATGTCGCGACAATATTGGTACATTGGCACGAGCTCACAGATTTGATAATTTTCAAGATTAACAAACGTTTGGTTTTCTAAAAATAACTTGTTTACCCGCAACCTCGTTCTCACGGTTTACGCCGGACCAAAAACCGAGCCTTATGTTTGTCAGGTCTTCTTTGGTAAAACTTGAAGTTAAAATTCTCTCTAAAAACAAGCTCACATGGGCGAACTAAATCCAGAACAACTATTAGCGTATGCCGAATATAAAAAAACGTAGATTTCTGCCCGAATGTATAAATATTTTGGCTGATAAAATAAAGTGAAAATGTATTCTGCCTAATAAAAGGCCAAAATAACTTTTCCAAGGGTGGAAAGTTTTTTTGTTAACGCTGGAGGTTCAGTTGCTCTCCTCTAGAAGGCGAACAAATGCGGATGCGCAAACTAATTCTAGGGCAAACATTCGCACGGGAGTTGCTCAAGTTTAGGATAATATCTGATTTCTGTTACCTTCCAGTTATAAAATAAGTTAAAAATAAACTCTTCAAGCAGGACTTATTATAGAGTAGGCGAAGCTATTCAGTAAAGTACGCGTTTTACTTGCCTAGAATTGTTATTCTTATTTTCCGCAATCACGTTTCACGAGTAAGTTAACGTACTGTGAATGGCCTCTTCATACACATGACTCGCTCGTCTACCTCACGTTCGAGTATGCTGCCTACACGCCGTGATCACGTCTGACCATCTAGCGGACTTCCATGATGTCACGAGTACTGCCTCCACGCATGAATACCTGTTGCAGCACTAAGATAGCCGATGCGTTAGCCTGGCTGTAGGCAGCCCGGTAAATTCACGGAGAACAGATTGTGAAATGACCTGCAACAAGTTCTTCTTGCAATGTAATCCGTATGTAGGTCTTGTGTTTGAACGGTCGCAGACTATCAAAAACAGCGCTACCATGCCGCTATCGCATGAGGCTCTACATGCCAACCGTTCTGTAAAACGCAAAGCCTGATGACGTTACTATAACGTGACGATAGTTACCTCGTCGCTACCATCATTTGTTTGTTTTCCAACGAGCCGAAGCTCTAGAGATAGCCCCGAGCAATGAACCCGAACGGCTGTTGGGAAGCCGTATATGTCAAAGATTAGAAAGACATCTAATTAAGGCTTCCGAACTCTATGCTCTCGGGTTCAAGTGCTTATTGTTTGTAGAACACAAGCAAGAGCACTAATACTAACTTCCCCATTCCATAAGCTCTGGTTTTTGGTTTCTGTTCCAATTATAATATATCAAAAAACAGTACATATTAACAAACTGCAAAAACAGAATGTTTCTTCGCGTTACCAAAGCCTAGTCTCTAGCCCTCAATAGCATTCTAGTTAAATATACTAAGATTGACCCCGCCTGTCACCCCACTGATCCCCTACTTATCTTTTTTAGGGACTGACACCGCTATGTGAAGTGGGTCTTCGAGCTCGCACATACTATGTTCTTAGTGGGTCCGTTCTTAATGTGTGGGCTCGAATAGAACCCCTCCTTCTCTCACGCATGGTTCATTCGAGGTGCATGCAGGTGGTGAGACTGAAACCAAAGGATGGCAAACGCATTGTCGGCTCACTCATACCTCATGAATGTGTTGATGATGTTCTCTCCTGTTTGAGTCGTCTCCAGGAAGATACTGACGTTGTCAGCACCCGGACTCCTACGCCTTCCGACAGCATCGGTCCGATTCCGTTTTCAGGGTCCCCATTCAGTTACTCCAAAACACCGAAGATGGGCAGACTGCAGCACAGCTACTCCACATCTACCATTGCCTCCAGCTCACCTTATGCACTCACCAATGGGCTGGGGAAGAGCATGAGGTATCCATCGAACGGACCCCTGGTTAGGCAGCCGGGTCTGCCAATGGCTTTTGGTGCCACCCGTTCAAATTATCCCTTTCCTCGCCCCCAACCCAACAACTCTCTCATGTAC